TATCAGGTTCCTAGTAATCTAATTTCTTACTACTTATCCCCACCACTTAAATATTCCACTGCTTCCCATAGCACCATGGACTTGGAACCAAGTATTTAATGCATGAGCTTTGGGGGATACTCATGATAAAAAAAACTGTAACAGAAAGCCAAAAATTGATTATGGGGGCATCTAAGGTGGTAGGTGCTAAGATATGGTGTAGAGTGCAGCCTTTCTGCCAGCCTGGTTCCAGAGCTGCATCAGTCCCAAATAAACACACAGGAGGCTATATTAATTATGAAGCTGTTGGCTGTTTGCTTGTTTCTTACTGGCTAGCTCTGGCTTAAGTATTTAATCCATAATTGTTATTTCTCTTACCGGAGAAAAGGATCTGGACCTCTTATTCCTATGGCAGCTACATCATGACTGACTATGTCTTTCTTTCCCAGAATACTCCTTAACTCCTAGTCCCACCTATCTTGCTTCCCTATTGGCCAACAGTGCTTTATTGACATATACACAGGACTTCCCCATCATCTCCTCTTTTCTGTCTAAATAAAAAGAAAGGTTTTAACTTTAACATAGTCAAATTATATATAACAGAACAGTTATCAAGTAAGAACATAGCTACAATATTTTGTCCATTAACATTTAGTAAGATTTAAAGAAAGTATTTTATCATCTATCCTATCTGTATGAGTCTCAAGTCTTATATGTAGCTTATCTTTTATCATAACTAAGGAAAACTATGATGACAACTATCTGCATTCAACTCCATCAAAGACCACAGAAGGATAATATATAAACACTAGGATTGACAGAGACATTTCACTATCTGGACAGTTACCTGAAGTTCCTCTGTAACATAGGGGCATCCATCTTCAGCCCATTAGGCCACAATGTGTCCAGAAGACTTCTCAGCAAAGCAGAAAATTTCAAACTGTCCATCTGCATTGGCAGTCTATCATTCATTTTTCTGTATCCTGCAGAAAGTCTCATAGACTCTTCCATGAAGCAAGAACCCTGAAGGACTGTTTGAGTTCAGCAGTAACTTTCCTGTGGGTCTTACATGTCCAATTTATACAGCAACAGTCAAGTAGTCCAGGCAAGAGCAGTTTCTTGCCCAAATGGCTAATCTTGCCATGTTGAAAGCAAACTCCATAACGAGTTTCTTTGATGCCCATCTTCCTCTCAGACGTAATTGGTGCTGCCAGGAGCAAACATTTCTCATTGTCAAGAAAAACCATAAACCACTTTAAATGCCATTTTCTGAAGGTCTTTGAAAGGTTTGAAGACTGTCTATCTATCTCAAATAGTTCTGTGTATCTAGAAAGCCTAACTTGCCTAACTATAAGTTCTGACTATTATAAGTAACTATCTATAATTAGTATAAGCACAATACTTAATCAAGAGAAGTATACATATCACTAAACTGACCTTGAATTTTTATCAATAAATGAAAAACCATAGCAATACAAAGTATTCATTTCCATACCATAATTCCCCTTTTACCATTGAAAAGAGATTGGCTGTGATCATTAACCAATTATAAGCAACCCCATTTAAATGAAAAAAAGATTTATAAATAATATGGGAATTTGGAGGTAGCTCATTCCAAACTGCTTCCTGCTGGAAGGAGGTGCTGTTCATACCATGGGGATCATGACAAAACTCAGAAACCTTGGCCAAGTTCTTGTTTTTTGTAGTCCTTAAGGCTGAATCATCTCAGCTGTTTCAGATGCTGGATCACCTGGGCCACTGCTTCTGGGGGTCTTGGTAAATCAAACCACAGAAGCCTGGAAGGAATCAACAGCTTTCCATTTTCTGTAAAAACATAAATAAAAACTCTTTCCCCAAGTAACCAGTCCTTATATTTAAAGTTAGAGGTCAACTTTTGAAATATATAAATTGGATTAATTCAGCATCATTTATAATCAAGTATATTTCAGTAGTTGTTCCTTCCTTAGCCACTGAACAACTGAAAAACACAATAGCATACAATATCCAGACTTTCTGTGTACTTTCCATTTTACATGGCTTATGTTACTCTATTTCTTTTACTTTTATTTATTTTTTTCTCTGAGACAGGGTATGTCTCTGGAAATCCACCTGCCTCTGCCCCTGGAGTGCTGGGATTAAAGGCGTGTGCCCCCACACCCAGCTACTTTATTTTTATTTTTTCCAATATCTTGTTTCTTTTATTCTCCCAAGTCTACTTATATTTTTCTTCATCTGAACCTGACTTTACTCTAAAACTTTATGTTTTTCTGGCCATGTGTCTTATATAGGCTAAAGAACATTGCTAAAATTAAAGTGGAAACAGCTGCTGGCTTTCCAACATGGCGGGTGTAAGCTTGACTCCAGCTTATTGCCTCAGTCTATGCTGACATCCAGTAGCATGGTGCTGGCTTGGAGGTGTGGTCACTGCCACTGCCAGATGCTCATGCACATCATTTAATTGTTAGCAAAGCCTCTGAAAAGAACCTTGCTTGTTTTTTTGTTTTTTGTTTTTTTGCTTATGCTGAGACAGGAAGACTCCCTTAAGCAAGCCACATAAGTCTCTGCTTGTCTCTAGCAAAACAGAGTCCACCTGAGAAAAATGCTGCTACCAAGAAGCTGTGCTTCTCCCCGTTCTTTTGTTTCTAAAATCCCTTTTAAGCTTTTGTCATTCTATATGGAAATTCAATCCCGCTCCTGACAGTATGGGGCTAAAGTGTCTGAACTCCAAGCCTATCCATCCATACCTGCAAACTTTCTAGGAACATATGAACTGACGGTTTATCTCACTAAAGTTACTAGTGTTGCCTAAGATGGAGGGGTTCTTCAAAGCATTTTGCTAAGCTCATCTGAGACATCTACATTCTCAAATAGACCTCAGGGTACAAAGCTGCCCAGGAAAAAACTGATGCTGTATTGCCTGCCAGCCAACCACAGTCAGATTTAACTGAAGTGAAAAACAATTACAGAGCTTGATTTTCCTTCCTAAGTTTGTGAGTCAAGACCTCTACTTACCTTACATCTTGATGTGACTGGATTTTGTGTCAATCCAGGTCAGTGTGGGACACTGACATCTACTCCAAATATCTTAGCCAAAGTTAATCAAAGAGAACTCAATCATGTGACTCTCTGATGACAAGTGTGGCTGAGAGAACTGGGGGTGGGGGGAGAAGCTGAAGCATCCAGGAAGCAGGAGCATGGAGTGTGGAAATGCAATTTCCGCCATGCGTGGTATTCTCGCTGTAGTCAGGAACCAGTCTCAGCAGTTAGGGGTTACCTCGTGGGGTTTCTCTACCATAAGCTGTAGGAAAACCCTTTCAGTAGTTTCCCAAGGTGCAGCCTTGCAAATGTAATTCAACCATAGGAAAAATACCCCTTTATATAAAGTTAATGTCCCACTCACTCTCAGGGACATGGAATCAGGTGTATACACCAATAAGTGGAATCATCAAAATTTCACCTGCAACTACCTGAGTGTCCTGCCTCCTCCTGCCTTTGCTTTCTTTGCTCCTTTGAGTGCAGACCCTTAACACCTTCACCGTGTCTACACAGCTCCTTTTCTCCCACGAGTGGTCTCTTCTGTTGTTTTAGGAAACCACTGTCCAAGCACTCCTCACAGTTCCCAGTTTCCTATGGACTAGAGTTCTGAACTCCTGAGAACCTGACCTGACCAATACCTCCAGAATTCTCTTCTGTTGTACTTGTTAACCTTCTTCCATATAGGTCAGTCCCTGTTTCTATGCTCATGTTTCCTTGTGCCCTGTCCTTTCTGACACTACCCTCTCCACACCCCCCCGCCAGGCCAAAAAAAAACATTTCTGGAGCATTCAGACTTCAGATTTTTAGACTGGCAGTGCTAAGCCAGCAAAATTAATGAAATTATTGTAAAACACGAACAACTACAAATTAAAGCATTTCTTGTTTTACTCAAACTACATTACTAACCTTGCATCAAACTGGTTCTTTTGGAAGCATATTTCTGTGTGTGAATGTTTTGGACCCAGGCATTTATGTGAACTACATGTGTACAGTGCATGCTGAAGTCAGAAGAGAGCATCAGACACCCTGGAACTGGAGTTACAGATGATGGTGAGTTGTCATATAGACTCTGGGAACTGATCCCTGGGTCCTCTTCCAAAGCATTGAGTACCCTTAACCACAGAGCCATATCTTCAGCCCCCAGACTGGCTTGCTAGGCCCTATTAACCATTGCTCCAGGAGAGACTATGTGGCACTCCAAGTTTGTCTTTAACTGTTAACAACATGGAATATTGTATAACGCCAATGATCAAGATACAAGAGATTAAGGGTGTCATACAAGAAAGAAGAATGACTAATAGGAGCCATATAGTTTCTAGTGAGGGTAGGAGCCCAGGTTTCTCTATCACTTGAATAGAAGTCTGTCTCCATGTTTAGCACAGAAAACTTATCTAAGGTCAAAGGAATGACTTTCCCAAGGTCACCAAAGCCCCAAGGTGAAGATGCTTTTACTCTGTGGTGGGTGCAGAGAAACAGAAGGGAGATATTGATGTTTTACTTCCTACGATGAAGAGAGCAGAAAGTACTCTCTTAGTTGGCAGATATGCTGCTGTTTCAATAGTATCAAGAAGCTCTCACAAGTCCAAAGGATAAAAAGAGCACTCATTCTACACAGGGCTCACCCCAGGCAAGAAAAATTAGTGGACCCCAGGAACCCCACACTATGGGTGTTGACTGAGAGAAGGGCTGTTACACTTGGACAAGGTAACAGGAGCAAATGTGAACTCTGATTTCCTTCCCACATGGCATAATCTGGTGTTTGTAGCCATAAATATAACACATGGAAAGTCCCTTCACATTTCAAGTTTCCTGGTTATATGATACTAAGTTTTTTTTTAATTTTACATTCTGTAATTTCATTTTCATGCTCATAAACTATCTAACACCAAACCAAAGCCATTTCAGATATAATGAGACATTTCAAAATCTTAAAAATGATTGTGTTTTTCTTCAGTATCATTTTACATTAGCAACCCCACTTCACATTTAAGAGTATTTTAGGGTGGTTTTATTGGTGGTTTCTTCAGTAGTGTGTTAGGTTTTTGTCTTTATGACAAATACCTGACATAAATAACTTAAGAAAGGAAGGATTTATTTACAGTTTCTATCCACAGTGCTTGGGTCTGTTGATTCTGAGTTCATGGTAACACACAACCTCATGGTGACAGGAGACTACGGCAGAGGACAGACAGGAAGCGTGGTGCTGGGACTGGGATGAGAATCAGGTATAACCTTCAAAGGCCATGTCCGTAGTGACCTACATCCTTCAGCTAATGTTCCTCAACTTCTTCAAATAGCACTGCTGTCTGGAGACCAAGCATTCACCACCTGAATCTGTGGGAGACATTTCATATCCTAAAATTTAGTGTCTTAGTGCACACACAATCTGGAGTTCATACTTTCCCTCTCATCATCCACCAACAAAGTAAGTTAAACTAGGACCTGACAGGTCTGTTTTGCATTTACAAGTGTCATATTGGTGACGTGAATTCAATTCATTAACAGTGTGGGCTGAATTTTACTTGAATTCTTCTACTAGATACAACCATGCTTAAAAGAAAATAGAAAAAGGGAAAAGTGAGGGGCCTTGAGTCTCGAGGTAAAGGGCTTGTGTTCCTCACAGGGATATTAGCCAAGTCTTAGTTCCATCTCTGCTGCCTTCAGCTCAAAACCTTCACTTCATGCCACTCACATTCCCCATTTTATCTCAAGTCCTCCATTTTATCCCAATCTATTGGGACTCTTTCAGAAATGAGTCCCATGGAGAACTTACTGACTAAAGAGCAGAAGAAGACAAGTTTCTAATGTTATTGCTATTATCTGTTGAGTTCACAATAATTAAGATTGATATTCTGTGGGTCCTTCCATCCTGGTCCATTGAACCCTGGGCAGTCTGTAGGGATGCTATTCTTCAAGTCCTATCTAGGGCATCCAAATGTCTAGTTCTACACTATTCAGTAAGTGTATGAAGACATCTGTGTAAGGCTAAAAGCAAGAACAAGAAGAATTTGTCCCAGACTACTCAACCCCCAAATAGAAACCGAGACTAAGTAATGTATCTTGTTTCTTTTCCCAGGCCTGGAGCAAGACCTTATCTCTGGGGTTTCTATAACTAAAGGAAACCCCGACCTCCACGGATGGCAGCAGCCACAGCCTGCTCCTGGGTACACACAACCACAGAGACTCTCCACTCATGACGTATGAGCTGCTGACAGTACTGCCAATGTCTGAATTAAAGTTTATGTACTGACTCACAAGGTGAAGAGAGAATTTTAGAGTCAGGATGTGAGAGTTCTTTTTTCTTTCCACTTCGGAGGTAATTACAGTCAAGTCCTGTTCCCAGGCTGCAAGGCCAGTGGTACTGCCCACATTGAGCAGAACTATTTATCATGGCATCCAGGGAATATCTCCTGAGAACTCATTCTGTTTTCATAACATATGATGCTAAATAAATTTACAAATAGGACAGGAATCATGTCTGGGTCTCAGACTTAGTTCTCCCCTTCGTCTTGCCCAACTCATTCTGGATCTTTATGTTTGTCACCTTGTGGTCTTTCCCTGACTGTTGCTATCTTGTCAGCTTTGCCACCAATTCTATTATTCTACCCTGGTACTGAATTGACCTCATCTTATCAAGAAGGAAGCTAAAAAATCAGGATGTTGAAGTTTGCCCCCGTAATCCTACTGAAACAGGTCTCAGGCAGCCTGGGCAGGAACATGCTCCTAGTCTCTCTCTTTCCTGGTGGAAATGGGTCACCAGGTGATGACTACTGGGTGAGAGTACACAACCTTCTCTTTGATTAGCACATCTTTCCCCAAACAAACTAATGATGCCTTGTTGCATCTTACTTACTCTTGGTAGCTTTCCACGTCTCCCAGAGCAAATCCATCTCTGTTTTTTTTCCTTTGTGTTCCTTCTCATGACATGGTAATTGTAGGGAAGCACTCACCAATGTCATCTCTTAATATCCACCTCTGCTCTGAGGTTCAACACTTGTTTCTGAAGACCTTCACAGGCAGTTGAGTACCGAGAACACAGTGGGTATTAATTAGTGAATGGTGTAAAAAGGCAGAAGGCAGGTGTGGTCTTCTTCTGGGTGTCATAGGATGGGAAGCATTCACCATGGTGCATCTTTCCAAATAACAGATAGCTATGTCACCAGAGCCAGATACTTTGTGAAACTGAAATGTGGGGTAGAGAGAGACTGAGAAAGAAAAAAAGGATTCTGGCAAGTAGGAAATGGAAAATGAGTTCCTTTAGAGTGAAATTGGGAAAGGAAATGACACTAAACTTGGCATCACAAGACCTGATTTTGAGTAGTGGCATTCATTGAGTATTTTCCACATTTCAACTATCAAATGACTCAGACTCCTCCAGAGACCGGGGCTTATCTTTTTCAGCTTTACACACACCATAGTGCATCCCTGTCACTGTACCCACTTCTGCTGGGCTCTGGAAAGGATGCATTCTACATGGTCATGAAGGTGGGTGAGGGAAGGGAGTGGACAGTGCAGATGCCCTGGGTGTGTCTTGGGAAGAATCTTTAATCTGTCCCTGGTGGACGTTATCCCTTTGCCTGATACTTAGGAATCTTTCAACAGATCTCCAGCACTTTAAAACATTGGTGTGTGTGTGTGTGTGTGTGTGTGTGTGTGTGTGTGTGTGTGTGTGTGTGTGTGTGTGTAGGGGTGGTGGTGAGAGTACGTAACAGCTCTTTTGAATCCCGATCTTGTGGCTCATCATTCCACAAGGCCAGCACAAATAAACACTCCTGGCTGTGTTTCTCATTAACAGTTTAATCTTTGCTACCCCAGTTCAAAAGAGAGAAAGTGGGGGGGGTGTTCTTGCACCTGCCATTCTTCCCTCCTAAGAACTCTCCCAGAGGAGACTCTTGCAGCATGGTGTGTAATCTGTTGACTCCCCTTTGTTCCCTCCCCTCCCCCAATCTTTTATCTCAGTACTCTTTTTTTTTTTTTTTTTTTTGGCAGCCTGCAGGAAGGGCTGCTCCCTGACTGTTGTGGGACACAGCCTGCAAGATGTGAATATATTGCATTCAAAGCTAGGTATTATTAAATTAGAAACAAAAGGTCAGATATTCTAGAAGGAAAACCAGATCCATTTACATATTACTCTTACAGATATCAACATTTAGACTTTCTAACTGCAAAGGCTGATTTCTGCAGTCGTCATTGGCGCTATGCCTTTACAGAAGGAAGTGAAGAAACCCAACCCCAGACTTACACATTTTGAGGGACGAATCACACCACTGGAGACTGTTTCTGAGGGAAATTCTGGAACTTGTGGGAATGGGCAAGCAGGAAGACTGTGTTCAAGAGAGAAGGTGTGTGTGTGTGTGTGTGTGTGTGTGTGTGTGTGTGTGTGTGCCTGTGCATGAGCACGCATGTGTGTGCACTTCTGCATGCATAAAAATACATGCACAAAAATATGCATGAGTACATGTACATGTGCTTGAGCAAGTGTGTATCTTATACATAACTATATCTTCACCTTTTCCTCAAGACATCTATGTGGTAGCTATTATTCAAGTTCAAGTAATTAAGATGGGGCATGATTCCCCAAATTCTTTGTCCTGGAAAGAGATCCTGAGAGACAACCAGGAAAGTGAAAAATGTCTGCCCCAAAGCACTGGAGGTCATGGGCCTTCAGTCTCTCTGTAGAACTGTGGTAGGAGCAGAGGCGCCACTTGAAAAAAATATCACCCTTGCCTTCTGGTCTGTCATTGCTTCTGTCTGGCCTTATGATGAAGTAGGAAGCTGCCAATAAGAGATCCCACCTGCTTGTAGTCTTCTACCTGCAGCCATTAGAAGTAAGGACCCAGGAGGAACTGTATTTGCTACCAGGTCCTTGTGAATATCATGTGTGCACTGTGACTCAAATGTTTCCTAGGCATATGGAAAAGGTAATGGCAATGACAAAGCATCCTATATTAGTGGATCAAGCAGACAGCAAGTGAAGAACAGCATGGGCAGGTACTCCCCAGCATCAGTCATCCATTCTTCTTTGCATTGTCTTCATCTAATTGCCTTTTTTCAATCATGTACTCATCAGATACGTCATTCTAGCTTTAGAGCTATAAGAAAACAACTCCTTGTTTAACACTGAGTGAGGGAAGTGACTATTCTGTTGAATGAGATCAAGTTACTTCCTTTTCATCTTTTTGAAACCAAGACCTTAGAAAGAAGTTCCTGCAAAGAAAACCCATCATGACCATAGGAAAAGTCTACAGAAAAACCTGCCTAGGCACATAGATTTCCCCAGGAACTGCCCTAACAGGGTGGCAGTCCCTCAAGGGCCCTAGAACCATGTGACCCTAGAACAGCTATGCTGGCACCGACACCTACACAGTCACAAATACTCTTTAACTCACATAGGCCATTTATCTGATCTTTAGTTTCCATGTTTTAGTTTCTGAGTCTTATGTGATAAAGAATCAGTAGCTTTCATAAATCCATTCAACAACTTCTAGAAAAAAATGATGTTTGTTCTTAATTTTCCTAGCATGTGAGGAGGATTTGATAGCTTTCCCTCTCAAATTAATATACAGTAAAACCAATGTGTGTAAGTTGTGTGTGTGTGTGTGTAAACACATGGGGATCCCTGTAAATTGCAGCACAACCATGACAAAGTGAAACAACTTTTTAACAGATGTCTCACAGGAAAAGATTTACTGTTTTCCTTTCATTGATTTTACCTATCTTGGGAAAAATTTAACTGATCTGATCACTTAGGACCCTAATGAAGTTAGTATTTAATTAGAAATACATTTATAACAATGATGTATGAAAGATAGACAAAAGATATGGGAGTTGGTCAATTCCAGAGGCTCTGACATCCTCTTCTGGCCTTCCTAGACACCAGGCAAGCATGTATTGGACAGGTATACATACAGGCAAAACACCCACACACATAAAATATAATTTTAAAAACATTTACATCTAACTTTTTAAGTTATGGAAGTTGGAAAGAAATGAAGACTTCTTGGGACTGATGTGTTCTCCACCTTGCTCAACAGCAGAGTGATTCAGCCTGTCCTGGGGGTGGTCTGGGTGGGGAAAAGAGGGCAAGACACGTCACTTTCTAGGGCGGTGGCAACTTAGTAGTTCAGAGTCAAATTGCATGTAGACCTCTGGGCACTCTGGGCACCTGGGCTGGGCTCTAGAGGAAGTCAGTGAAAGTAGAGGACACAATGTGCTGCTGAATCGGGCACAGATGTTGACAATGGCTGCTTCACCAGAGCCTCTCATGCAAAACCTGGTTTTTATGTAATTTGAAAAGCATGACACTAACAAAAAGCGTCATTCATCTTCCAGTTATGGTTGGCTGTAAAATAGAATAAGGACTTCTTTTCCTTTGAAAAGCCAAATGTTTATCTTTCAATTCTTTAGTGTCTTTTCTCTTGGACTTTTAAATTCAAATGCCCACCTACACTTCACCTCAGCTAAAATTCTAATTTAAACTAAATAGAAAACTCAAGGCTACATTTATAAGTGACTTGGGACAAACTGGTCTACCTCAGAAACATCTAGGAGTTGAGCAACTTTTCCTGGATCTGTGACATTTAGAAAACAGTCTACCTGACCAAAATTTGTTTATGTTTGCTGGCCCTGTCCATTTTAAGATGTCTCTGTGGAGTGCACAGGAATACTTGACACCAGATATAATGAGCTATGTTTTATTTGTTTGCATTTTTGAGACAAGGTCTCATTGCACTCCAGGCTTAACTTGAACTGGAAGCAGTTCTCCTGCCTCAGTTTCCTCCAGCTGGGATTACAAACATGAGCTGCCATACCTAGGTTTAACTTGGTTTTCACAAACAAAACAAATGAACAAACATCGCCCACCCCCTGCAAAAAACAAAACAAACAAACAAAAAAACCAAAAATACTCAACTCCTTTTTATTTGAGCAGGTGAGATGGTTCAGCGGAGTAGAGCTTTTTAGTTCCATCCCTGCACCAACTTGAAGGTGGAAGCAAAGAGCAGACCCCACCCCGCCCATCTCTCTCTCTCTCTCTCTCTCTCTCTCTCTCTCTCTCTCTCTCTCTCTCTCTCTCTCTCTCTCTACACACACACACACACACACACACACACTAAAATGGAAAGAATAAAATTCTTTTGTTCCATGAATGCCCCTGCCTAGGTCAGAACTGTTTCCCACGTGTAGAATGAGGGAATTGGTGGACTGGTCATTTTCAAATGTCTTCTAGACTTTGAGAGTGCAAGCTCCTTTAGTACTCTCTGCTTCCTGGCTCCCTGTGCTAACTGGATAAACCACTGGTAGAGACTAGCCTCCACAGAGCTCTGTAGGACACATCTTACAGACCTGACTTCTTGCCCAGTGTTGCCCAGAAGTGGCATGGTTCACCCCAGCTCCAAACAGGGAATGAGGCCCAGAGAAGGTAAAACATGCCCTCTAAGTGGTGCAGCTCCTGGGTTCAAGGGCAGAGGAAAATAAAGTCCAGGCCCTGTGTTCCTACCAACTCTGCTTACTGCTACTCTTTGCCTTTTAAAAACAAATATCATAAAGGAAATTCCAAGGCCAGGGAACCTAGAATCATTTATTTTTATAATATGTCTCACACAACTAATATACTTCAGGTTTAGAATAGACTCCCTGGGAACAGACCCCATGTGGGCGGGAGTTTCTCAGACAAGCTCACACACTCAGTGTATAAACTTCAGGAGCACAGCAGGGGGACAGTTCTCTGACCCTACAGGCAACTCAAATCAGAAACCTGGAGGGGAGGGGTGTGGTGGGCACCTGGGACCTGTTCACTTTCGGAATGGGATAAAAGGAGTCAGAAAAGGACCTGGGCCAGGCTCACAAGCAGAAAGCTGAAGCAGGGAAAAAGGTAAGGGAATAGCATTTGCTTGTATATCTTTCCTCACTTTGAATTACCTGATGAGTGGCTGCCACCACAGTAATGAGGTAAGAGGATGGGGACAGAAAATGCCTCAGGTGAGCATTTTTGAGCTTGAAGTTAGCCAGGACCATCCCGTTCCCACCCCCCCAATCTTAACATCTGGCATACATTTCATTCAAATCTTAGATATATGTTCAATTTAGTAAAAATACATACCTCTATTTTATAAAGAAAAATGCATTAATGTTTCCTTGACGTTTACAGAACACCATTAGTTACTAAAAATGCTACTAAAGTTGATGCAGCCATTTCTTATTTCTCCAAATGATCATTTTCTAGTTAGTGAGTTTCATACTTTCTGAGACAGGTAAGACAGACACTTCTTATCTAGGTAGGTAGCTTCCTGGTTAATTTTTGTCACTTCCTGTGACATGTGCTTTCTCACCACAGCTGACTTCAAACTTCACATGGTTTAGCAAATGAGTTACTCCATTCCTGAATGTTGAATGGAGTTAGACGGAATTGCTCTGATTCTTTCCCATGGAATCCATGTATTCCTTCTCACTGTTTTGTCCTCACAGCCCTTAGTTACTGCAGTATTGTTTATTTACTTATTTTCTTTTTATTTACCATTATAGTTTCTGAAAATGCCCCATTACAGGATTAGGTGTGCAACTTAGTGTAGCACGTTTGTCTAGTGCAGACA